AACTCTCAATTATCAACTTAGCATTACTTTCCAAAAGGTGATTCCAGTAAGTATTTTTGGGTGATTCCAGTAAGTAATTTGGGTGAATAACGGAGGCTTGCATAGTCTTGGAAGCGCACACACCCAACGGAGGAACCACATTAGCGGTTAGGGGGAGTGGGGGACAACTGCATGCCTCCTCCCATCTCTCGTTAATCTTGGAAGCACGTTCACGGGCTAGCGGGCAGAAGCCGTCGTACTGAAGAAAGCTGCCGCCTGATCCAATCCTGTGCCATCATCCATGGCGATCTGCTGGGATCGCGTGAGGGGAGGGAATATGGCAGTCTGCGTCGAGGATGGGAGGAGTCACGTGCGGGACGAGCCAAGATTGATGGGAGATTTGTGATCTGATCTGATTTCTGTTCTGGCTTTGAAGTTGAAGCTGTTCTTTTTTTGTTAGACGTGATCCGTGAGGACAAAATTGGAGTAGGTGGGAACACACAGAGATCAGGATGGAAAAAAAGGTGCAAGCGAGGGATGGATAATTTTTCTTTTTCATGTTTCTTAGTTTCTTCGTTTTATTATGTAGGCGGACAGTTTCCCTTCTGAACTTCGGATTTCTTAGTTTTCTTGCATTCATTTTTTCTTCCAACTGGTTTTTTCCACATGTGGGAGGAGATGAATGATGGATGAAGAAAAAGGAGGGAGAAAATTACTCCTTTTAATGTTAGGTAGAGATTGGTATGGCAACATTATTGGTAAAAGCTACTCTGGGGGAATGGTCAGTGCTGGTCTGTACGGTCATTATTGGTATTTGGAGATCAATAGTTTCACATGCTCTGGGGGAATGGTCAGTGCTGGATTTATCAGGATAAAAGAATAGTCATATCAAAACCACTAATTCACTGTGCTACAGTGAAATACAGGTCCACAGTTGAATAGGTACATGTTGTCTATGCTCTTTTAGCCTGGTCTGGGATTTTGTTCTATTGATCTCTAAACCCTCTAGTTTAGACAACTCATCCGTCATAGTATAGTCTAAGCATTGACTGGAGAGGTTTTGTTGGACATCAGTTTTGTTGCAAGGATATAATCACAGATTCGATGGTCTTGTTAGTGCTAATATATCTTGTTACGCGATGGAAGACATCTTTCCGTTGAATTTCAGTAGCAAGTTAGCCACTCAATCTAAGCAGATCTTCTGAAGTGATTGTTCATATTTGTGTACCCTGAAGTCTGATTCCAGAAGTATCACATTATACTCTTGAAACACATCAGGCTTCTTAGAGAGAAGCTTCACTGTTTAAGCTTGACTGCTAGCATTATAGTTTTTATCTCTTTGCCTGATCCTGTGTTTGATTCGTTTATGGTCGAACACTTTCCTTCTGCATTTTTGGGTTCTTTCATGGTTAAATACTCTAATCATGTTATATACTTGTTTAGATGTCCCTGAAGCAGCATTTGTTCAGATGTTAACCTTAGAAATCTTGCACCTTTGCAGGCAAATAGATGAATACACGCATCTCATCGCAAGCATAAAAGCACAAATCAAGTTGGTATGTACAATGTATTATAATTGTCAAGGTGTTCCATTATGTCGTAGATCATACTCCTTTGTTCCAAATTATAAGTTACCATTAGACATAGTGTATGTCTAGTGCATAACAAAAGCTATGAATTTAGAAAGGTCAAAACAACTTATAATTTGGAATGGAGTAAATGAAAGGTGCTGCATTCTTGCATATGCCCTTATCTGCTTAGCCATTGGCAATTACACACGCAGGTATGTGAAGGTATCCGCGAAGTGCTGCAGCTGCCAGCGGAGAAAGAGTTATCGCCTAGGAATACGTGGTAGAATTTGGTTCTCACTGGAGCAGGGGGTTGGTGTGCTGCCGTCGAATGTAGTGCAGTTCTGCAAACATGGTTCCATTTTTACATGACAACAACCTGGCTTCATCTCTGATGAACTCCTGCAGTTGAAACTATTGAGGTGTCGAGAGTATTTTAGACCAGACAACGAGGTTCCCCTTCGTACAACAATCTCTTTGACGGCACCACGTACAACTCATACTGATTTCTAAGTTTTCATTGCGTTGGCATATGGCCTCGAGGGGGTTGGTGCTGAAGTGCAGTACACACCGGCGAAAGCGAAGCATCTTGCTCGCCGATTTGCAGTTTATTTGAGCCTCTTATGCAGGTTCAGGTTGAGCTCACATCACCCGTTAGTACGGCCTGCTGGCGATTCCGCACAAGCCTTACCTGACCCCGACGCGCCTCTCCATGCGCACGTATCCATTCTCGCCCCACGCGTCACCCCACGAGTTCTTGACGATCCAGTACTTGTGGCCGCTGGCGCCGGCGTCGGCGCCGTACCCGACCACAGTGACGGCGTGGTTGATTCCGGCGTCGCAGGGGCCCGACAGCACCCCGCCCTGTAGTGCTGGAAGGTGGCGGCGTTGATGGACACGACGACTGGCTGCTGCGCCACAGCGAGCTCCAGCGCGGCCTCGCTGTTGGGCGCACCAGCCACGCCGCCGCGGACCCTGCCCATGCGGATCCTGCCGCGCCTGCACTGCCCCTGCTTGCTCTCGTAGGGGTACTCCCACGTGGTGGCGAGGCCGCCGTTGCGCGCGACCCACCACATGGTCGTCGCGGGATCGCCGCCGTTGCAGCCGTAGTTGGGCGGGGACGCGCAGTCCACGAGCTCCTGCTCCGAGAGGGAGACGAGACGGCCCGTCCGCAGCTTGTACAGGCTCTCGATCGACGCCACCGCGGCGAAAGCCCAGCAAGAGCCTGCAATGCAAGGACATGTCGTCACGAGGATGCTGGATACAAATGCATATATATCATGTTCATGGCACGTGGACAAGGCGTCATCTTTTGCTGACGTACGTACCACAGGTCATTTGGTGCTTGATGGGAGTCACAGCGCCCCTGGCCCTCCAGTCGACGCTGTAGGGGACCTGGCCGAAGGCGTCGCCCGAGTAGCTGCTGTTGCGACTGTTAGACTGATCTCCACCCGGCTAGGTGCAACGACCGAGTCGGATCCTGACTCGCGCTCTGATCGGGGACGTCCAGCCGTACTCATGGCTGGTGGACCCCCATCGCGTAGCGCTATAAATAGGAGGTGGGGGCTAGGGGGGGCTTGTGACACGAGGTTCGCTGCCACCCACAGAACCCCACCTAAACCCTAATCCGATCCAGAGGGTAGCGCTGAAGGCAACGGAAAGCTCCACCGGTGTCGCCGCTGGATCGTTGCCCCTGCTCTCGCCGGACACTGCGAGCCCGACGTCTACACCCGCTGGACTCCACCAACACTCCACGCCACCGACGACATGACTTCCACCTCCGCCAAGCCCGCCGATGATCGGTACCCTTACCCCTCTCTCTCTGGTTTGTGCTCTAGGATGATCTACCTGCTTATTTATCCCGAATTGAAAGAACACACCCACTAGATCTAGACGATCTTAAGAGCCAACAGCGACCGCCCTCGTCGCGTGGCGTGGTGGCGTCGAGTTGCCGCGCCATGGCCTCGTCGTCACGGGCAGCGAGCACCTGGCCAGGCGGCATGGTGTACGCGGCCAGGAACTCGTCGCTCGTGAGGTCGGTGAACTGGTTCTCGCCTAGCTGGTACGAGAGCCCGCCGCGCCGGTTCGTGGCCTCGATGTACTCCACGTTCCGGCGGTACACCTCGAACCGGCGCTGGCGCTCCGCGGCGGTCGCGTAGGTCCGGTTGTGCGCGGCGCGCCAGGCGTGGAACCGGTTCGTCATCATGAGCATTTCGCTGGACGCCGCGGCGCTGGCCAACAGGAAGCTGGTGCACAGGAGGGCGAGGGCTAGACAACGTGAGGCGGCACCCATGATGAACACGTACAATACAGTCGATCGATGTGGCCCGATGCTCCAGCTGCTATCTCTCTGCCGTGCAAGTTGCTTGCTTGGAGTTCGGAGAGCAGCCAAAGCTCGGGGCGTCGCGTCGATCGTCAGAGACCAGGATCAGGGCGTCGAGGTACGGTACGTGTTCGCTTCACTGCTCCGGCCGGTCGACGAGTAATGCTCGCAGCATCTTCTGGAGCAACGCAAGCGGCATGGTGCCGGTACACGTCCTTCCAGATGATGCAAGTTTTTGCATCTGCTAGCTTTACAGAATTATTACAGTTCACACCGACGACGTACCTCCCGGATGAGAGACCGTCTGTTAATTAGGTTCAGTGGTCCGATTTTAGTTAAGGATAAGATGCACGCCAAGTTCATGGCAGCCACAGTTTTAGTTGTGCTGTTAAGAGTTAGCGCAACCATATAGTAGTGGCAGTGTGGCACTGCATATAGTGATTAGTGAAGCGTGCGTTACGTCGTTGCCTGCACTCTGAACTCTTGGTTAGAGCATGTCCAGCAATAAGCTAATCCCCCTAAACCAGCCTCCTATTTATCTGAGTAGGGGCTCCTATGTTTTTTACGCCTTGGTTTCTGGCTGTCGCTTTTAACACCCTAAATCTCGGCCCATATTATTTTTTCTCCTCTCTTATTTCAACATATTGACAATGCATTTGCATTATTTCACCTAATAATAATTCAACGGCCGTGATTTCTTCTAGCTATTACTTCCTATGGAGTAATATAGTCAGAGTACCGTAGCAAAGCTTTGCAAAGTTTCTTTTTCGTGTCTGGAATCAACTACAAAGGTCACAAGACTCATGGATATGCGAAGTCAAGTTCGCTCTTCCGCAAAGAAATTCAGTCGACGAATGGAGTCGATCAACGAGCATGGAGCATGCAGGATTTTATTTAGGTATTTCTCATTAGAGGGATACAAGGAACACCACGCACGGTAGTATGCATATAGCTAGGAGTACAACGGCAAGTCATGATGTGTCGATCATCAGACCTCGCTGTTCTCATATGTGGCACTAGTAGTAGCAGTTGCAGTAGGTTGATACTTAACGAGCGCAACGATCCTCGCAGCATCGTTGTTATTGTTGATGCCAAGCTTCTGCATGTCGGGGATCACAGCGTTCGGGTTTTTAGCCCAGTCGAAGGCAGCTTTCGAGATCCTGTCCCATTTCTGCACCTGCTTCCCCTGCATCTCGCTTATGGTCACCCCTGGCTGGTTGTTGAACCCCGCTTCTACCGTGCGGGACACCGGACACAGTGATGAACCGCACCCCCTCGCACACCATGACCACCAGCTTCGCCAGTTTGCTCTTCGTGTCAGCTTGCGGGTCAGCCGCCGCTGCCAGATCAGCATCCTGCAGCATCAGCAGCTCCTCCTCCTCCTCTAATGTCATCGTCGTCTTCTTCGACAGGTCGTTGACGGCTCTGGTCATTTCGGCACGGCCCAAGGTGACGGTCTCCAGACCCTTATTGCCGATGAGGTCCTGGTACCGGCCGCCAAAGCCGAGCCACCTCGGGCTGTCGTCGAGGAGGTGGGTGTCGCCGTTCTTGCCGAACTCCCACCACACACCGGCCGGGGTCCTGAAGCCGACGAGGTAGAGGTTGTCCATGCGTATGGCGAGCGTGATGGAGCTGGTCTTGGTTTTGAGCTCGATGTGGAACCAGAGCTCGGGGACCTTCTTCTCCGGCGGCAGCACAGGCTGGAGGATGCCTTTATGGTCGGTGCAGTATTTGATTACTTCTTTCCGGGCCCAGGCAATGAAGGAGCCGTAAGTGTAGTTCACGTCATCCACGTTGAAGGTTTCAGTGAACCTTGGTACTATTCTTTTCTTTGCTTGCGTAATAAGATCACTAAACTCTGTGTTTGGCTCGGCCATCGTCTTCTCTTTTGTATCAACAGCTAAAAGGATGGATGGGTTGTTGGCATTGTGAATTGGGATGATGTACTTGCAGATATATATAGTGGGAGAGTTGGGGCACGTAGCCATGTAGGTACTCTATATCTATGTATCTATATCCATATCATCTCCCACTAATAGTCATGTCATTTCATTAACTTCTAACATTTTAATGAAAGCAAACCATCCATATCATCTTCCACTAACTTTCCACATCATCTCTAATGTCATTGCATTAACTTCCAACCCCTTAATAAAATCTTTTCACGTCATCTTCACTAAACAAAATTACTAACTTTCAGCCTTTCTGTAAAAGCAAGCCATCCACATCATCTCCCACTAACTATCAACATCATCTCCCACTGATAACCATGTTATCGTACTAACTTCCAACCTCTTAATGAAAACAATCCATCCACATCATCTCTCACACTATCCCACCATCTTTCTCTAATAGTCATGTCATCTCACTAATTTCCAACCTTTAATAAAATCTATCCATATCATCTCCACTAAACGTAATTAATACTTTCAATATATAAGGAACTAGAAGCATACCCTACGTGTTGTTGTGAGAATTGCGGATTAGTGGATTGTATGACATGTTGATGTGGACAACAAAATGCTTGTGTGTCTTGCTAATGTGGACATTACAATTGCACGTGCTAATGGATTTTAATTGCATGTGATAGTGCATTGCTGAGGTGGATAGCTTGCATGTTGAGATACATAGCTAGTGAGATTTAAAATTATAAGAGATATAGATATAGATATAGATGGCATCCATATAATGCTATTTATTTTGCCATTCCATCAACTTATAATTCAATCAAATTCTACTCCCTCCGTCCTAAAAAGGATGCAATTCTAAAACGGTACTATGTTAAAGTATGTCAAGATTGATCAAGTTTATATGAAAAATACTAGTAACATTTATCGTACTAAGTAGTCACCATTAGATTCGTCATCAAATATATTTTGATAATATAATATACTTATTTACCATCATAAACATGAATATTTTAACTATGTATATGGTCAAGCTCTAGGCACTTTAACCGAGAATGCACCTGGAATTGCATTATTTTTGGGACGGGGTATTATTAGTCTTTTTAATTGAATTCCTTCGTTGACTTGCCCAAATCTGATAAGACACTATGCCAGAACAGGCAATTAGTGCCTGTGCATCACTGTCGGTTGTGCTAGAGTCACAGTTATTGCTTTTCATTGTCGGTTCGTAAGCCTAGAATCTAGAAAATTCCGGAGACATTTTTCACCCAACAATGAAAGCACCTATCACTGTCAATTCAAACCACCACATGGCAGTGACATATCGTTGCCGGGTCAAGCCACAAACTAGCAGTGATAAGTGTCATATCACTATCTGTAATACCCTAAAATTTGAATTCTTTTTAAAATAGTAAATTTGATTTAAATATGCAATTATGTGTGCATTCAATTATAGGAAATTAATAATTTTTGGGAATTAAAATCAATTATGAGATTTGAAACTTTTGATGCATACATGCTGCTGCAACATTTATTCATGGGATGATTGTTCAGGAATTAGAGTTCAAATGAATTCAAAAAATTATTTGAAAATGCTTTTGGAAAAAAAATTTGTTTGGAAAATAAAAAGGAAAAATGAACATCTCCCCCCTCTCTCTCATTTCGGCCTGCTGGCCCGCTCACCTCTCTTCCTTACCCTCCTCCCATTCTCCTTCCTGGGCGGCCCCGCTTTTGGTAGATCTTCTTGCTTCATGACACCCAGACTCCACGCCTGGCCCAAGTCGCGCAAGACACCCTCACTGCAACCACCGCGCCTCCTTTCCTCCTTCACCCGCTGACGCCCAGGCCAAGACGTCGCTGCCGCCTTCTTCCTCCCAGAATAGCGTGTCACGTCGGTAACCGCCGCCCAGCCCACGTCGCGTGTCGTCGGGATCGCCTCCCTCGCCCGGCCTCTTTTTTAAGCGGTTGAGCCCCGCAGCGTTCCTCTCTCGCCCCCGCTCCATTTTCGCCTCGTCCGCCACAATCGCCGCCAGACGGAGGAGCTCGAGGATCGCCGTCCACCCGTCCGCGTCGCCGTCTTCCCGAGCCACCGTCGACTCCATCCTTCCTCATTGTGAGCTTCGCCTTTGTTTCCCTCTCTCCCAAAGGCAACTTATTTTCCGTTGCGTTGGTCAGAGACCTTGTTTTGGGTGCGTCCATGAGCTCTCACCCCCGGCCATGGCGCCGCCGCTTGGCCTTCCCTCCGGCCGTCTTCTCGACCTAAGCGCGACCCCTTCTCCCTCGAGCTCTCGGGTGCCCTCGGTTCCCGTTTGGCGGACCCTTAGCCCCCTAACCGAGCTCGCTGCGTGCTCTTTGCCGCCCGCCATGGTCGAGCCTCGCCGGCAGTTATTCGTTTATTAAACGGCAACGAACCCCCAGATCCGTTCTTGACCGTCCATTTCTAATCCGACTGACCATCGTTGGTCGATACCCCCTTCGTGGGTCAAATTGCTAAAGAGCCCTCCTGTTTTTGCGTAATAGAACCCGCCGTCCTTAGCGTATTTCTCGAAAGTACGCATTCTCGTTTTGAAAGCGTATAGTTCACTGGTTTAGTCTAAAGTACGCTTTCAGTATTTACAGAAATGCCATTCGAACTGTTTCGCTTATGGAATTGTCGTTTTAACTCCGAATTGATCCATTCAAATCGCGTTAGCTTCGTAATTTCATAAGCTACATGTTGGAGCTACTGTTAGTCAAGTTTGGAACTTTTTAATTTCATGATTAGATTTAATTAAATATAGGGCTATAGGAAAACCCGTTTTAATCATAACTTTCGCATTTTAGCTCCGTTTTTCGTGAACTTCGCGTTGACGTGATCGTAGCGAAACGTAGATTAGTTTTACAAACATTTTATCATGATTTCAATACTGTTGGTGTACTGTTCTAATGATAGGAATGTTTGCTTTGCATGAATGCTTTTGGAATGTTGTATGTTGCCGTGTTGGTCGTGTTCAGACGGTGAGGAAAACGTTGGAGACCAAGAACTCTTCGACGACCAACAGGACCAGCACGAGTTTGTGAACCAAGGCAAGTATAACATGGGCCTTCCTTGATGTCCTATTTCACTCTAATCAATTATTCATTTGCATGTGTCTAATTTTGATACCCGTAAGGACATCCTAGTGATTGTTATCCTATTCCTTGTCTCCTATGGGTTAAATGCATATGGGTAGATTGCTAGTGCTCTAACCGAACTTGATATACCTGTTGATGAATGATACTATGGAACAAAGTGAGTAACATGATTTATAACAAACTGTTCCATAGGGTGAAAGTGCAAATGACCTTTGTTCATGTTGCTCCGGCCCTCCATAAGGACTTATCTGTCGGCAAAAGCTCGGGACCCGACAATTAGCAACCGGGAGAGTCATATGGCTCGACTTTAGCTCGATAATAGGACCTTTTCTAGCTAGTTAGAGGTTACCTTTTTGGCGCAAATGGGGCTTGCCACGTTGGGTATAGGGCTGCCTCTGTTCCTATGTGTATAGCCGCTGATGGATATGTGCCATAGGAAAGGGGGTTCTACACATCTGCCCGCCAAGGAAACCTAATGCCCTAACTTGTTAGAGAAACCTATGAAATGGCTTCATAGTGTACCCCGCCCGCTCACCTTGGAAGTGACATGGGAGTAATTAACCCGGGCATATGGGGATCACGACTCATGGTGAATGTGCACCACCTCTGCAGAGGGTAACAGACTATTATAACAGCCGTGCTCACGGTTCTGAATGACGGAAAACTCACAGAATAACTGGATACTTGATGATGATCTTATAAAGTTGTTTAGTGATGATATATGGTACATATGACTCGATATAAGTTCTTATGGGAATTAAATGGGAGCTTAAGCATAACACGATAATACTTGAGAATAAAAGTTTGACCTATTAAAAATGCTAACTGCAGAAACCGAGTCTATCCTTTTGAGCTTCATAACCCCATGTTAGCTTGCTAAGTACGGAATGTACTTACACTTGTTTATTTTCTTTACTTGGATAAAAAATCCGGATGGGTAATGGATGACTACTGGTATGAGGATTTCCGGAGGATTATTAGGCTTGTGGTCAACCAGTTGACCTTCCCTGTGATGACGGCCACGAGAGTTTATTATCTTTTATTATTCATTTGTGATGTATAAGACTAAGTTTTATTATAACTCTGATGTATGGGACACCGTGATGATACTATTGTGATTTGTCAGCTTGTGTGTGTGATTGATTTCTGGGCACACACGAGTTTTGTGCATTCAATTTTATCCTTAAAATTGGGTGTGACAAATTGGTATCAGAGCCGTGTTGACTGTAGGACGCAAGCCTAGTTAGAAAATGGTCGTTTTAGCATCTTTGCTCCTCTGGTTTCTTGCTTACTGACTTATCCTTGTTATTTTATTAAAACGTTTATGCTTTTCATACCTTAATCTATTATTTAAAATTGTTGATTCTAATTCTAACTCACTTTAAATCTATAGATGTCTCATAATCCGAAGACTGCTCGCCTCAGCACCGCCAGCTATCGTGCCATGTTCACCCCGCGTGCCCCACCGGCGGAGAGGGAGATTGTGATCATCTCCGACGATGAGGAGATGGCTACATCGACGCCTTCACCTACTCCTACACCAGTCGCCGTGCCCGTCTACCCTGTGGTAGCTACACCTGAGGAGTCGACGGCTACTTCCCCTACACCTGCACCCTCCCCAGCTGCCCCCGTGGAGGACGAGGAGATTGGCTGGAAGTGCAAGTACTACTTCAAGCCAGCTCCAGAGACAGCCTACTACCACACTCTCCTCACCGCGTCTTTGGACTACTACTTCCCGACTTGCGCCTCCATCAGCTACCATCGCGCCGAGTACAAGCACTCCACCGGAGGCTACCTTCCGGAAGGTAGAGCTGGTGGTCACCGCATGGAACGACATCATTAATGGACATGAGGTG